AGGAGTAGAGTCCTACATGTCGATGTTCGCGGATGACGCAAAGTTGATGAGAAGCGTTGTGACAGATGAGGATTGCAGGATCCTCACAGAGGACCTGAACAGGTTACAGAGATGGTCAGAGAAATGGCTACTGGAGTTCAACACGAGCAAATGTAAAGTTATAGAAATGGGACTGGGTGATAGGAGACCAAAGGGACAGTGCACAATGAAGGGGAACTGCCTTCCTGTGACGTCGCGAGAAAGAGACCTGGGCGTGGACGTAACACCTAATCTACCTCCTGAAGCACATATAAATAGGATAATGACAGCAGCGTACTCTACACTGGCAAAGGACATACGGACATAAGAACAAGGTAACTGCAGCTGCCTCGTATGGGCCTATTGGCCCATACGAGGCAGCTCCTATTTATAACCACCCAATCCCATTCATATACATGTCCAACCCACGTTTGAAACAATCAAGGGATCCCCAACTCCACCACGTTACGCAGTAATTGGTTCCACAAATCAACAACCCTGTTACCGAACCCGTATTTACCCAAGTCTTTCCTAAATCTAAACTTATCCCATTTGTACCCATTGTTTCGTGTTCTGTCTTGTGTTGATACTTTTAATACCCTATTAATATCAACATAAGAATAAAGGTAACTGCAGAAGGCCTATTGGCCCATACGAGGTAGCTCTTATTTATAACCACCCAATCCCACTCATATACATGTCCAACCCGCGCTTGAAACAATCAAGGGACCCCACCTCAACCACGTTACGTGGTAATTGGTTCCATAAATTGAGCTCTGGCAACTTTGGTCCCGCCTCTCAACCGTCAATCAACAGGTGTACAGGTTCCTGAGCCTATTGGGCTCTATCATATCTACATTTGAAACTGTGTATGGAGTCAGCCTCTACCACATCACTGCCTAATGCATTCCATTTGTCAACTACTCTGACACCAAAAAAAATCTTTCTAATATCTCTGTGGCTCATTTGGGCACTCAATTTCCACCTGTGTCCCTTAGTGCGTGTGCTCCTTGTGTTAAATAGCCTGTGTTTATCTTCCCTGTCAATTCCTGTGAGAATCTTGTACGTGGTGATCATATCCCCCCCTAACTCTTCTGTCTTCTAGCGACGTGAGGTTTAATTCCCGTAGTCTCTCCTCGTAGCTCATACCTCTCAGCCCGGGTGTGTGTGAGCGTGCGCGCGAGCATGTATGAGGCTTGCTGGTGTGTGTGTATATATATGTACTGGATGTATGAGTTATGATAATGAGTCAACTCCATAAAAGGCATAATGCACCAACACCCAAATACTGAACGATCATTCAAGCTTTTGTGGATTTTTTGGAGAAAATGTTAATTTTTTTTTTTTACAAATTCGTGGATGCAATTTTGTTGAAATAACGTTGTTGGACATCAGAGGAAGGGAACTATTAAGGGAAAAGCGCCAAGTTATTATGTCTATATAGCACTTGGAAGGGGCAGGATAAGGATTTGGGATGGAACGGGGGGGAAAGGAATGGTGTCCAACCATTTGGACAGTCGGGAATTGAACGCAGACCTGTATGAAACGGGACCGTCGCTCAACCGTTCACCTCAAGTGGTTGGGCATCAAAGTGTCGACATTAATACACGCTAAACTGAAGGAATTAATGTAGGCATGTGCTGAATTGAAGATTGCAATTATACCTGACCTACAATTATATATTTAACAATAATTATAGATAGCCTGCATGTATTTATTTAATACAGTAGTTGTTATTATTTGGTTGCTGGTGTAATTGTGGGTGTAGGTGTAACGGTTTGCCTATGTGTAAATGTGTACACAGGGTGTGAGTGTACACAGGGTGTGAGTGTACACAGGGTGTGAGTGTACACAGGTGTGTGACTGTACACAGGGTGTGACTGTACACAGGGTGTGACTGTACACAGGGTGTGAGTGTACACAGGGTGTGAGTGTACACAGGGTGTGAGTGTACACAGGGGTGTGACTGTACACAGGGTGTGAGTGTACACAGGGTGTGAGTGTACACAGGGTGTGACTGTACACAGGGTGTGAGTGTACACAGGGTGTGAGTGTACACAGGGTGTGACTGTACACAGGGTGTGAGTGTACACAGGGTGTGACTGTACACAGGGTGTGAGTGTACACAGGGTGTGAGTGTACACAGGGTGTGAATGTACACAGGGTGTGACTGTACACAGGGGTGTGACTGTACACAGGGTGTGACTGTACACAGGGGTGTGACTGTACACAGGGTGTGACTGTACACAGGGTGTGAGTGTACACAGGGTGTGAGTGTACACAGGGTGTGAATGTACACAGGGTGTGACTGTACACAGGGTGTGACTGTACACAGGATGTGAGTGTACACAGGGTGTGAGTGTACACAGGGTGTGACTGTACACAGGGTGTGACTGTACACAGGGTGTGACTGTACACAGGGTGTGACTGTACACAGGGTGTGACTGTACACAGGGTGTGAGTGTACACAGGGTGTGAGTGT